TAACATGAAAAGTAGGTATAAGTCCACACGTAACATGCAGTACCTATTATCTAACCTATCTACCTACCCAACAGGCAGCGTAGTTACTTGTCAGCTTAACGCGACTCAAGTTCCTGTGTATTAAGCCACGCTACGAGCAGCTCTCAATGAGGTACATGTCCTGTCGCTCACCCCTGTGCATTTCCATCACGTACAATGGGTAAGGTACGGACGGGTCGGTGGTGTACATAGTACTGTAGGATTGCAAGGAGGAATGCACAACACACACATACACAGTGTTCAGGAATGAGAACCCAAATCAAACCAAGAGCTCGTCATGGTCCATCTTGTTCTCTACCAAGGTAGCAAATCATCCACCCTCGGTAGAGTGGTATCGCTAGCGGTTAGTTTGTGCAGTAGTTGATGCAGCTGCTTGGTCAGGCCACTGATTGGCCGGCGCCAATGGCGTGTGGTGCTCTTCTTTCCGTGCACAACTGGACCGGGGATTGGGGGAGAGAGAGAGCCCACAGTTGTACCTACTGTACCCACAGCCCAGAGTGTTCGATTCCTGGCTCGAGGTCGCTCGTTCCCTTCGTATGCCGTACCCAGATCACCCAGATCACCCTGCCCATACCTGCCCATACTGGCTGCCCTTTGCATTCATCCTGCGAGTGGGTGCCTTCCTCCTGCCACCTCTTTTCAACTGGTAACTTATGTACTTACCTACCTAGGTAGGTAGCATACTTGTACGTACCTACCAGCAAGGCTCGTACCCCAACACTCCAAACTCCCCAACACAGTGTGGGATACGGTGAGTAAGTAACCTCCATTTCCATGCATTCACCCATCCACCCATCCACCGACCCTCCCCTCCGGCATTAGCACCCACTGTTCCCCCCGCCCGTAGCTTCCTAGCGCTCTTTGCAGCTCGCTGGCGAGTTCAAACGTGTGTCACAAGAAAAAGGCCAAAAAGCCCGTGTGCTACCTTAACTACCACCTCGCTATCCTCTTTTCAACCATCCCGCATTCACCTTTCCTGATCAATCACCCAAACCCAAACCCGATAAGAAAAGGGAAAGGCTCGACACCTGACACCCGATACCCGACCAGACTTTTGGGCTTTTCCTTTACAGGGGAAGTGTCATTCAATCAAGCCGCGATCAAGGGCCCTGCGTTCCGCATCAGGCACATTGAGGCTCTCGTGTCTTCGTTCTGTTCTGGCCTTCCCAGGACGGTCCCAGCAGTCAAACGGCCTGCCCTGATACGCGCGCCCGTCAAGCACAGGTAAAGGTGAGCAAACAACAAATAAGACCCTTCGATTGCATTGTGTCGCGTTGTGTCGCATCGCATCGCATCGCATCCCCCAGTTCACCCGTTCGTTCGTTCGTTTCCACCTATCGCCCTTTGGGACAAGGTCAGCCCGCCAAACCCTCCAGAGCTCCTCCAACCCATCCTGCCCTACCTACACTACCCAACTGGGAACCTACCGTACAGGGCAAACACCTCCTACCTTCGACCTATTAGCTTCGCCTGTCATATTCCTCCCAACAGGTAGGTAGGTTGTCATGATGCTATGATTTTCGCAATTGTCTTTTTACTATTGTTTTTCTTATTGTTATTATTCCATGGACCAGTCTTTCCCCTTCTTGTCTCATTCACTTCAATTGAATTGAATTCGCTCCACAGACCAGGACCATGCTAGTAATGTAGACATGCAGTGCAGTGCAGTGCCTGCTACTACCAACCTGACCCTCTCTTGCTCCGCGCTGATCTGCCTATTACACGACACCCTTATACACTACCCACTCCACTATCTACAGTACAACACCTACAGTCAGCACGCTACCTAGGTATGGCATCTAACACAATCGGGCCACACAGCGCGCCATCCTGCCATACGCACAGGGTCACCTCCCCCAAAGTGTCAAGGAAGCACCACCGCCCACCTTGGCAATCATATCCAAACAGAGGAATAGTGCCATCAGCCAAGTGCCTGGGAATTTCTTCGGTACTCGCTTCCAATTTTGTTCCGCCTGGCACTCACACCAGACTCGATACAGCAGTCCCCAAACCAGGTTTCTGCGACCAGATTCCAGCCTACGACAACAGAGCCTATCCGCTCAACGCCAGATCCAGTATAGGCCATCGGCACCACGACCAAAACAGTATCTCCACCATTTTTGCCTGTTTCGTTCGTGATACCATCCAGCACCTATCCCGCAATGGCAGACATCACCGATCAGCACGACCAGACCACTCCCCAGGAGCTGGACGATAGTCATGTTGGCAATGGCAACACCGCCGCCGCCGCCGAAAATCGCGGCGTGAAGCGCCCGCGTAATAGCATTGCTGAAGACGATGATGATGACGACGAGAAGGGCGGGCGCGAGCGGCGGAAGATTGAGATCAAGTTCATCAGCGACAAGTCGCGTCGCCACATCACTTTCTCCAAGCGCAAAGCTGGCATTATGAAGAAGGTATGTCGCCGGCACTTCCTCGTCACGTAGTAGTCGCGTTAAACGCGTTCTTGCTCCGTCGAATTCCCATGTACCGCCGTCGCGAAAACGAGCTCTAACTCTAAGTGAACCAGGCATACGAGCTTTCTGTACTTACTGGCACACAAGTACTACTTCTTGTCGTCTCGGAAACCGGTCTTGTCTATACATTCACTACGCCTAAGCTCCAGCCTCTCGTTACGAAGGCGGAAGGCAAGAATCTAATCCAGGTTAGTACAGCTTGCATCGCGCCGAAGCATCGCATTCTTCCGAGATACTAATGACGCTGCTGCAGGCTTGCTTAAATGCGCCAGAGCCTAACCCGGGCAACGAGAACGGTGTTGACGATGCGAATCAAGTCGATTCGCCCGAAGAACCACCCTCACACCTCCCTCCTCAGACTAGCCGGCCGGGGATGCCACAAAATCCACACATGCCAGCTAGCTACATGCCCAACGTCCCCATGGATCCTCAAGCCATGGCTTACCAAGGTTACGTGCAGCGCGGCGCTCCACCTCCTTACGGCATGCCTCCACAGCCTGGCATGCCTCAACACTCTGCCCACCAGTCCTAATAGTCGCCGTTGCGGTGACTTTCTGCCTTACGCTGATACCCCGAATATAATGCATTGATGAGGCTCTCTTTCTACTAAGGCATTCTTCATCCAAACTATAATTGTGAGGTTACGGTGGCCCGGCGTTGTTTGGGCTTCGTGACTTGCCCGCAATGTCAATTTAGTTTTCTCATCAAATTTTCAATCCCATCTTTCATACTTTCACTTACTTTTGTTCTTGAATTCTGCTCTCCGTTCCGTGGCCCATTTCGAGGTATCCTGCAACGAGTACTGGGAAATGGGATAGCCTTCTAATAACTCTCCGTCGCTTAACTGTGACCCCACAGTGACAATTTCGATTGAAGGTAATATCGACCCATTTGACCCATTTGCTTGCACCTGCGGTCCTCTTTATCCCCAAGGTTCCTTTACCTCTTTCGAATAGAGTCAATATGGCAGCCGCCACTCTCGTCGACCGCCGGAATTCTAGCCGGCAGGAAGGACGGTTTCGTCTTTATCAAGACGAATTGAGCCGTCGGTCGCCATTTCTAACTCCTATTGTTACTTTCGGTGTCACGCCTAGCTCTTCTACCTTGCCCTTCATGTGACACTGGATGATCAGGGATCGACCCGTCTACTGGAGGGTCTGAAGAAATCGAGTATTGTCGAGCGTAACAGTGGAATGGTTTACGAGCCAGTACGGATGCCTGTAGTGAGCGATGGTTTAATGCTTCGTTGACAGCATTTACTACATTCTAAGAGAATGTCAACGTACACCCAGAGTTCCCGGCGTTCGAAACCGAGTAAAAAGCGCTTGAAACCATGTTGCCCGTGGATGCCTCGATTGGCTGGATGCATGTGCCGGAAGCGACATTCGTGGACTGGTGTTATCTCCGAAACAAGGAATTATGCGTTGCCACCAATAGCTATAAGTGGCGATAAACGTAACCCTTCAATTACATGCAATGAGCATGCGGCATTGATGGAGGGCTGATGAGGTTTTACGACATCGACGGATCGAAATGACCACGAAATCCATAACACTTCATCTCACCTTCCGGTCTCTCCTAATATAAACGTCTCTTCTCAGAAACAAAGTCGGTTCCGAAGGCCTTACTCCTCACCAACCAGTCGCATTCAACTTGGTACTTCTCTAAATACGGTAGTTTCGAAGTGGCCTACCATTCAAAACCTTGGACATCACGGAGCGCTCATCTCTTCGGGCATGTTGACCTAGAATGTTGAGTCACGACCGCACTAATCGTCGCCCGCGATTGATGAATCCCTCGTGCTCTAGCATATACCTTATTAGCTCCTGCATCGTCAGTTTGACTAGCGAAATCTAGTCTATAGAGTTTGGGGCGTGTGACCTGATGGTGGGCATGAAGAGGAGTTCAGGGGTCCCCAGAGCAGCCCATCAGTGTTGTTCTCTGGGTACCAGGAGCAAATCATCACAGAGTCGATTTGTATCATAGCATCATCTTCCATTAGACCACCATCAAGATCAAGTAGTAATTGAGCCTCGTGTTTGAGCAGGATTGTTTCTTTTCTGTTGAATTTACAACAAGTAATAGCTAAGGCAACATTCTTACCAGCCTATCCAAACCCACATCACTGATAATGTTAACGATGCAATTTTGATAAATGCAAGTTTTAATTTGTTATACTATAAATATTAAGTGCACTATTTGTCATTTTTAACGTATTATATAACAAGTATAAAGGCAAAGTTGTTTATCCTTATAAATAAAGATGTTAGTAAACGTAACCCTTAAAAAAGTATTATAGTTTTTAATTTATATTAAAAGTTAATTTGTTAGCTAATTGTGTAAGTACTAGCATAAAGCTTATATGGTAATTATTATGAAAAACATAACCGAATTAAAGGGGCCGGGCGGGCTTACGTAAGCTAGTAATATTTTTATGCAAACTTTGTTTTTCCTTTGTTAAAGATAAAAATCTTTTAAAATATTTGAGAACTCCCAGACTCGAACTAAGGCCTTCGCAGTACCCTCGACGGCGTCTAACGGCTTGGCGACGTGCACCACTACACTAAGTTCTCTTCAATCTAACAGCAGCACACAAATTACTTCTATGTAAGCTGAACTTGTACGTTGGCGTTCTTTAAACTTTACTGATTCCCAATTTACATTTGCTAGGAACTCACAATAATCCAAAGGTATGATACAACTGTCCAGCACATCCTCTTCATACCAATTATACTGGGGGAAAGTTTGAAAATCGACCTGGGACTGGTTTAAGTCTAATCACATGCGTTTACACCCGTCTTCGCTTTTTCCCCAGGGCCCCTTCTGCTTCTTCTGCCAGATCATTCTATCCAGAAGCGTTTCCAGGCTGACTTTAGTTGGGAGCGGCCGGCTGCGGTCTTTTAGATGGAGCACCTATTTGCCTGCCTCTCGAGCCCGGCGTTGGGGGAAGGTCGGTCCTCGGACTAAACACCGAGCTGGTTCTGGGTATAGGTACACTGCTTATAGAGGGTAAAATAGTAAGTGAATTCGGCTTCTTGGCTGCCATATTCTCGATGCAACACATTTTGTTATAATGCTAGAAAGCCCTTCAATTGGTACTTGAAAGCACTAATGCTTTCTTGCCATTAAATGGAGCTCAAACGTTGTATGGTACAAACACACGTATACGTATCGTGTAAAGGTGAATAGAAAAAGGTCATACGGTAAGACATTCGTAAAGATCCTTTTGAAAGTATTTTATTCTTGGGGTCCTGGGTGTTGTGCCATGCTAAAAGCAGCCTGCGCGGATTATCATAAAAAGTTACAATTTTGTTGTCGTCATTTTTACCGCTAGGGTAGAAGTAGTAATATATCTAAGGAACAACATGGCAGACATGAATAGCAGGGCTTACAAGCAGACCTGTGCACCACGATTTTCTTAGACCGGTGATGGCACAATAATCTACGCTGTAAAAACATGAGGACCTAAAATAATTGACGCGGCGCTTAGCCGCGTTTGTTGTCTATTTTCATGTCCTTCGGTGCAATCATGTTGTCAAACTCCGTATCGTCACCGTTGTCGAAACTTTGCTTGATCGGTGAAATAGAGCCGGATAAAGATCGCTTAATAGAGCGGGCTTTTAGCATTTGTTAGAGTGGCATCATCGAAAGTTTTAGATCGGAAGGAATCTTATTCGCCGAGAAATATCAAGGATCTTAACAACGGATATGGTCAGAAAGGTGTCGAGTACATCCCTGTTTTAAATGAGTATCTAGCAGCAAACTGCATGGCAAACTGCAGGTCTCATAAAGGACAAGATAGTAACTTTAAGACGTTCTGTTCCTTGGAACTTATTGGTTAGAAACATGATACGGGTCTATCCAAGAGGTTTCTTGGAACAAAGGATAGGCCACGCACTTCCGAGTCAGCTAAGTCGGAAGGGTTAGTCAAAGCGAAGGCAATACTGGCCCACGGATTGTCACTATTATCGCAGTTGTCCTTATGTGCTGAATCGTTTAGGACTCGAAGCAGAGGCGCAGCTCGTCGCAAACGTTACGAAAGGTTACCAAGTCGCTGCCTAGAACTTAGTAGATACCGGCGAAGGCTTGCGTTTTTATGTTCAGACCTATAGTGAACTGCAACATTCCACCCGACTGCGCGCCTATTAGGTATAACCCCAAATGCTAGACATCGCTGTCATCCGTCTATGTTCGAATCTGTATGACAGGCCCAAAGTAAGGAGCGCGAACTAGCCTGCGTGAGAGTAATAACACCAGAGTGGGTGGTATTGTAAGGGACCGAAGTGAGTATTGGTGTTGTAGAAGGGATAGAGATGATTGACGTTATGCAGTGTCCCTTATATCAAGGTTATATGCGTATGATGTTTAGCTGATAGTGATGGTGGTGGCTGAGCTGCAAAGTGATTCGGTGTGTGTGTGCTGTTCTGTATTCTAATTGGATAAATCCACTAAGCATGACTGAATTCCACATCAGACCGGCAATAACTTGCTCCCTTGCTGTTCGACCCTGCGCTGAGTAGATGGTTGGCTAGGTAGACTGCCCTCCGTTAGGTAGCCATGAGTCTCCTCCTTCTACTTCTAGAGGCCACACGCATTCTACTTCAGTTCCAGGTGCATTGTCTGTTTGTTAAAGACACCTGATCAACCATCATTTTCTACGAGATGCCAACCATTGAAAAAGTTCTATACTACGATCCTTCGACACATAAGGTCAAGGCCTCTGACAGCAATACCATTCCAGGTCCGTTTGGCTTTCGAACCTAACCACTACCAGCCCGGGTTATATGATTACTAATACGTGTGTTTCCAGACGGTTCCCAGTTCCAGTCTCTTGAGATACCTCCCTTATGTAATACCATTACGGTATACGTCGACTGGAAAAAGGCGGAGAACCATCCAGGAGACACGGCACCGGGCACTTCTGGCTCCCCGTTGATTACAGAAGAGCCGGTCAGGTTTGCCCTATCGAGAAGCCGCCGTAGCGTCAAGGACAGCGATCTTGTCGCAACAATATCCCTTAAAAAACAACAGAGCAATTCTTGGTTTCAGCGTCATTCGCCATTGCCTCGCAACTATTTTAATAAAATAGTAATTGGACCAATCAATAATAGGAATACGGCGGTGAAGGAGGAGAGTACGTCGGCCGAAAACAAAGCGGAATCATCCGGGGACGAAGGTAACCCGCCAGAAGACGGCGCCGCGCTTTCAAGCAGTCAGAGGACTGTAGAAAATAGGATCACGCCAGTCGGGGACAAGGGTAAAGCAGTTGAAGACCAGAGCACGACCAGCCACGCAACCCCGGTGAAACGTGATTGATAGACAACCTCGAAACTTCTCAAAGGAGGCAGCATCACAACAGATAAATATTGGGAGGTGATTGTCCCGACTACTGATCAAAATGCTATAATTGTTGGTCGTTTTGTAAAGTTTTAGGGTGACGGCATTAAGCTAGAATAGCTCTGCTATACTTGGCAAATAACGCTGAATTCATGTTTTAATTATCTATGTAAAAACAATAATCTTATTTCCTTTATGGAGACGATTAAGCTTGCTGAGAGGGACTATTTTTTAATAGACTTTTATTCGAAACTTGACCTCGAAAAGGTAGTGGGTAATGTGTGATGCCTTTGTTCGTAAGGGATAAGAGAATAATAAAGATAAGACGGAGGGTTATATATAGTAGCTAAGAAACCTACTGAGGACAAGAAAAGAAAGAAGAAGGAAGGAGAGAGAGGGTTCCGGCCATGAGAACTTGTCGCAGAGTGCCCTTATATACCGTTAATTCTATCATAGGATTAACGGCGTCGTTTTTCTGTTACGATAGTAATTCACAACTAGTGTTGTTGAAGCTGAAATAAAATGCTAAGCAAGAAGCAAGGTATAATAAAGGAATTGTTAGACGATAAAGCAATAGGAGTTAAGTCTACATATTATATATTATTGGAGGCTTATGCCACACGACCGAGAACTTGTTCATTCTCATACTCACGGAAGTCAGCAATTCAAATCGCAGAGCGCACGAGAATCCGACCAACGGGCAAAGGTGATGCAATTCGGTTGATAGGTCCCTGTCTAAGTCTAGGGAACGATCCCCCCACGAAATGTTCCATCTTAAGATGTGTAGTTGGATATGCGCGCCGCCCGACAAAATACGGGGTAGGATGGTAATTAACCATAAGGATTAGCTTATTGGGGCCGTACCCACAAAGGTTAACAAATCATAGTACTGTAGAGGACTAAGCTATGCCTTACCCGTCTATACCTAAGTTAACGGAGATATATAATTATACGTTTCATAATGTTACCTACATGTAGGTACTAATATGGATACAGTTCTGGGTACAACATAAAACAACATTCAGTTTATAGTACTTTTATTTTGGAAAGTGCTAACCGGCCTTCAGATCTAGCTGTCGCATATAATCACCACCGTCTTGTCCGCCAGTGATCTGTCTGAGATATGTATGCCCTCTACTACATTCATCATGGCCGAGCATTCAATTCACAGGTGACACTTTGGAAGGCACGGAAACATAACAGCAAAACCCGCAACCTGCATTCGACTGCCGGCACTAAGACTAGGTAGGTACCTACCTCTACGTCTCTGGATGCTGTGCTCTAGTGTGGGTGTGTGGCGTAGAATGTGGCGGCTGGCAGTACGTACCTAACCTACCTACCTACATGTACCTACATATGTATGTAGGTTTGGTGCGTGAGTTTGGTGCCGTGGGCGCGTGTGGGGCAAAGTAGGCGGGGCCAGATTTCCTATAAAGACTTTAGGAGGTCAGCCAAAGGCTGCCTCCAAGGTCAAGCTTGGTTTGAAACACGGTTGCTCATCCCCGCATATATATATACTCAGAACAATATTGGAAGTTTCGTCAGAGCCACCTACCTTCGACGGGCGTTTCTGGGTGATTCCAGTATTCATCAGCAAGGCTAAGCTGATGGATTTGCGCGAATGTCAGGCGAAGGCTGCCTCCGGGGAGGACATGACACCAAGATATGATGATTGATTGGGGATGTTTCAGGCCTAATGTCGCACTGGGCTTCGTGCTAGTCGACTATAGCTATCCCTGTCTGATCTTGGACAAATTTCTGGAAATAAAAAATAGGAAGCGAATAGGAAGATAAGAGGAAGATGGGAAAACACTAGGTATTTATACATAAACCTCGGCGGTAGCTATCTGAACATATAGAGCAGGTTGAACAATAGGCAGAGGTTTGGATAGAAAGAACTACGGACTAGAAGAGGAAGCCGTGTCGAACGAAGGGGTGACAGCCCAGTAAAATATGTTTGGAAGGAAGGCCACGCGTTTTACTGATGAGGGTACAACTCCGAATAGCAACGCAAAACAGTATTCAGGGTAGGTATTACTAGATAGCACGCCTTCTGCCAGCCGTGCCATCTCGTTCCGTCACGGTCCGCCTCTGTAGCCTCGCCCAGTATTACGAGAATCTCTCGACGAGCGTACTGTCGATTCTCTGGTAATTTGAACAGGTACTATCCGTAGTACCTGCCGCAAGTTGACGTAAATGATTCCGTGTCAAGCAAAGTAGGTATAGTGAGCGGCAT